TAAAAAATATCGTTGGAAATCGCGATTGTTTGTAAAAAATTTTAATATGCCTAAACTTTGAACAATATCACTCTATAAGGTCGAGCTATATTTCAATACTTCAAAAAGCTATTTAGCATTTATCCAGACTAAATATTCTCCAAAGTTTTGTGAGATACTTAGACGTATTTCCGAAAGCATAGATTAAAAGTTCGTTATAAATTAAATTAGCTGTACGATAATAATACCCTGGATGACTTTATAATAAATCAGAGAGTATTATCCTTTATGAGTTGACATATATTAAATAAATTTTATTGCCCTTTAAAAGAGTTTATCACACCCTTTGGGTAGCGTTATATATATTTGTTATTATTGCATTTAAAATTAACAAATAGTATTGTCTGCTGGACATCTGATTAAAAATAAAACGAAGTGGACACTTTAAAAGGCAAAATAAAACCAACTGCAGTGACTACCAGATTAGTCCCAAAAGTGGACGACCAAGCAGGTTGCTCGTAGTAACAAAATTTAAAAAAATCTATATTTATATCATGAGCACTTATTCAGCTTTAAATATTTTTAGCGAATTTAAGTAACTTGTTGGACTTTGTGAAAGACTCGGCAACAAGGCTAACAATGCGAACCTAGCACGACAGCGGGCGGCACGACGAGAGCCGAGAGAGCTTTGCGAGACGTCGACAGAGACGGTCCGAAGAAAGAAGCGAGCCGTCACAAAATTTGTTATTAAGTTTTCTTCGTTTCTAAGTGTTTCTTAAAAATAAAACAGTAATTACAATCCACTCGAATTGTCATCAATCTCGTCCCTGGAAACAGGCTGGTCCTTCGTCAGCAACCCCAACATAACTAATAACTAATTTTTCGTAAATTTAAGAAAATAACAAATAACCAATTATTATTTGTATTTTTTAATTTTAACTTTGATTGAAGAGGCTAAAATTTTTTATATTATTTGCCTTTATGTCCGTGCTAGCGTGGAATATAGCGAGCTCACTTCGTTGGTACGATCTTTATTTGTCCAAAAGCTAAGTTTAAAATAGTTTTTAAATACCGGTTGGCCGGGAAAGCAAGAATTGGTCTGTCCAACACAGTTTTAGAAAAGATGACCTACTTTTATGAAAGCAAAATGTTTTGTATGTTGATATAAGGCACATCGCCGTGGAAAAAAATAATTGAAATTAACTTTGCTAAAATATATAAATAAATAGAGTAATAAAATTTATTTCTTAGATTCCCCGAGCCATCATTTGCACTTTTAACAGAACACTTTAAAAAAAAAGAAGCAAATAAATAGTCTAATCTAGGAAATTCTTTGCCTCTGTGTTGATATAAGTATTGTGCGACCAGAAATATAGTGCATTTATTAAGTATTTTATAGTACTTTAACCGCAGACCTTCGCAGGACCGTGGTAAAACCCATCCCAACAGATGTTTATTCTGCATTAAGTAGATCGTGCCTGAGATCATTGAGATCATTGATGCTGCGGGATATTTTCGAATAAGTAGAAGCGTTTATTTAAACATCAGGTGATATGAATCGTTCTTAAGAGTTTAATCTAAATTGCAATGTGTTCGTATATATTACGGAGGTATTCGAACGTGATCCTTCCAGTAGGTACGTATTTATGCGCCCGAGTGACTTTGACCTTGACCTTACGGGGCTGTTTTCACTGTATTCTATTTATCTTACAGGTAAGTTTGGAAATAATCAGTTTTGTCTTGTGTGCCTGTCGATTATCAACATTCTTCTTTTTGTATTTTTGTGTCTTCTACATAGCTATTCGATTGGTAAACATCAACAGTCCTTTTTAAGACTATGGATTATATTCGCGATATATAAAGTTACGTCACAAGAATGCAGATGAATATTAGAATCCTACAATTAAATATTTTTTGAAGGTTACAGAAATTCAAAAGGGGAAGTAGGAGCAGCAATAAAAACAAGTGACACAGGACGTAATAAATTACATGTCTCAAGAATTGCTCGGCGAAAAAGATTGAAACATACTTATATCCCGCTTCTTAGTGTAGGTAGATAAATTCCTAGAACGGTCCTGGAATGGTTACGGGTAAAAGTTGTAAAAGCACTATAGTTCTGGTCCAAGTATAAGTTTATTTTTAAATGTTTTAATGCTTAATATGTTCCGTAAGGTTTTGAGAAAACCGCGAATGTTTCTTGGGTAGGAACTACGTGTTTGCGTTTTTATTATCTACTCCATTGCTTATTTTATCTGTCCCGTTGATTTCATTTAGCGACACACCGATAACATCAAACAGGTCAAGATCAAAAATCGAACTCGAGAGCTCTCTTAACTAGGTGATTAATAGCATTTAATTTCTCCATTCGTCCTTATCCCTATACTTACATTAATTGACCATTACAAGTATCGATTGGTTAACCAAAAAACATTTTATTTACGTGGTAGTTTAAAGAAAGTTTTTTTTTCAAAAACTGTGCTAATACTAAATATTTCATTGGGAACGCAGTATTCAACGGAGTAGTTAGTTTTGTCCATTTTCTTAATTAGGACATAAAGTTTTAAATGGGACGCCCTGTATAATTTTACGTGATGAAAGAAAGTAGGGCATGTATATGCCGAAAGATAAGCTAGTTTTGTTTAAATCAATACCCTGAAAAAGGAAAACGTCCACTTTAAAAAAAAATCTTGACTAAATGGTTGAAAGGGAATTTTAAAAATATATAAATTCAACATGAGGGCCATACTAAAGACAAAAGTTGACTTCGACAGTGCGCAACATAGGAGGGATATCCTGAAAATTTCAACATTTCAACTCCTATAATAAGGAAAATATAGTTTCTTTTAAAACATTTACCTTTGTCACCCTGTATCTACGCAATGCCATTGATTTAAAATAAAACATGTTGGCACGTATATACAGTACTGTCCTTCCATTTAAACGCCGCTGTATTTCTTATATCGGACACCCTGTCTATAACACTTTCCCATTGGTTTAAAAATTTTTCTTATTAAAGGGCAATTTTTGTTCTAATTTATTATTTTACAAAAAGTACTCAATTTCATTAAGGGATTTAATTTGTTGATTAAATTGTTCTAAATATTATGGCTGTTAACGAAGACATTTGAAACGTTGAAAAATATGACATAATAACAACAATAACAATAACAATTGTTGTATATTGTTATATACAAAACAGTAAAAAAGAGGAGAAGCCTAGCAAAAGCTACTCCACTTAACCTCTTAAATGTTTAAATTGAAAACTAAAAAGGAAGTTATAAATATAGTATAATAGAAAAATGTAATAGTAATATGGAACAACAGAAAGTTATTAAGTCAAAATAAAAAGAATAACATTGAAAATTAAATTATTTGAGTGAGCAGTGTCAACCTGAAATATTTTTTAAAGAATTTAATTGAATGTGATTCTACTGAATCGGGTATACTATTAAAAATTCCAACAGCATTATAAGAAAATGATCTGCGGAAAAAAGACAAACGATATCGTGGCAGTGAGAGTTTGTAGGGGTGCCTTAAAAAAAAATTAGTAGTAATTAAGCTCGTAAGTAGGTCGGCTTGGATGTGCTCATAATTTGGAAAACCATAGACGCCAAAAAGTACTTGAAAGTACTGTCAATTTTTAGCCAGTTAAGTTCCTGGATTTTGTGGGAAATCCTATCAAATTTAAGCAAGACGAAAATAAATCTCTAAAAGCCGTTTTGAATTTTTTGCAATCTATTAATACTATTAAGACATGGGTAAGTAATTGAGCTAAAAGTTTCCGTGAACTGAAATTAAGGACAGTTCTATGCCTGAATAAATGGCGCAAAACCAAGACTTTTTCACCAACAAAGATACATATTCCACGAATGTAAGTGTACAATCAAATATAGCACCAAGGTTTTTATTACAATTCATAATTTTCAAACGTTCACGTTGTTCAATGTTTGGTTTAGGAGAAGAGAACATTACACTGCATATTTTAGCATTAAGTTGAAGATTATGCCTAGAAGAATATAGAAATAAGTTATGCAAATCCAAATTGATATAAATTGAAGCAATATCAAATAATTTATATAATATAAATATAAATATCAGAAATATAAATTAAGAATAATATAGGTCGAAGGACAGAACTTTGCGGTACACCTGATGAAACAGGGAGAAATTCGGAACTTACACTGTCAAGGGCAACTCTCTGATATCTGTGAGCTAAGTAGGCTTTAGAGTAGTCTTGCAGTGGCAAGACCATCATCTAAAGAACTAATAATGTGATCATTGATGTGTAAAAGTAGACTATTAGTGACAATACTTTACAAAACTTTAGATAAGGTTGGAAGAAGGTCCGAGAACTGGCTGGGATTGTTATTTTTTGCCAATGGTTTGCTCAAAGCAAACTTCCAAATACTAGGAAAACAGCCTACTTCCAAACAGCAATTAATATGTAAAACGTCTGGCGCGGTAATAGTGTGTTGTTTTCTACTGTTAAAAACAGTATATTTTTTTAACATGCTTAATTCTCAAATCATACGTCCATATTTAGACAACAGTTCTTCTAATCATTGGATTGGCACAACACACGCTGTGTTACTTATTAATTATTACCTATTAATTACAGTTTACATAAAACATTTAACATTAACATTTAAAACGCGACGGGATGAGAAAATTCTGTTGACGGCATCTTTCGTTTCCCAAAAAAGTTGCACCATATTCCGCAATAACAACGAATTTCGGACACACTGTATATTTTACGAGAACATGCACATTCGGCGTTTTGCGGTTTAAAAGTCACGAAGTGTTTTCCGTTTCTCGCGTCAGCTTTTATTTTAGATTGTCAGCTCTTTAAGTGTCGCCCTTAATTATAAACAGATCCAGACCGTTAAATACTGAAATTTCCGCCTTTACGAGGTGAACAGCCACCATAGACCTACTTAGCGACATTCCTAGCAGTCGCCAGAGATGCGAGCGTATTTTCCATTTGTGACGTCGCCTAATACAATCATCCCAAAACTACTTACTTTCTTGACGATCAGAGTTCTTTGGGTGTCCGTATCGTTCCCCGTGTCGGTGGAATTCGGATCGCTGCCCCTGTCTTCTGCTGGCAAACGCGAAGGTTTCAAATAATCCGGTTCGAGGTCTTTCGAATTATGACTCGGCCAGAGCGGCCTCTTCCGAGGCTGTTCTATCACGGCTTCGTTCTTTTTGACAGGCATCGGGTCTATCGTCACTATCGAACGGCCAGCTGTTGCGAAAATAAAACGGTTGAAAACGCTTGTAATGTAATGTAAGTCTCTTGATTGTGATGCCAGATTGAGGTTTGGTTTTTGGCTTCATCGCGATTTCTTCTTTGTTGCGTCAAATGAGAACTTTGTTTAAAGAAACTTTACCAATTAGTTTAACAGTACTTTAATCTTTTTCTAAGAAATGCTTTGATTGTAGATGTACATTGTCTCATTGGTTATAAGCAACGCATTTTTTTCAATAATTAAGAATTTCTTTGAGAATTTTGCGATGGGGCACGTGTTTATGAGTTTATTATAGTCTGTCTCAATCTTCATCGTGATAGCTTTTGCCAATTATGGAAGTTACCTGCCGACGACAATAAAACTAATTACACACCGATCTAGCGTGCGGGAAGCGTCACTTTACCACGTCAGTGGATTTTACCGCAGGAGTTTGCCAGCAATCGGATGTTTTCGGAAATATTTCCCACAAAACCTAACCCATAAACTAAGTATAGTATGCAACGCGTTCGATAAAATTTTTAAGTCACTCGTTTATTAAGCACTCGCTGCGCTGCGCTCCGCTCGTGTCAAATAAACTCGTGAGTCAAATGCCAACACTTGCATAATATACTATTTTTTGTTGATCAAAAATCCGGTCAAAAACATGGGCCACGGCAAAACCATTACCAGAGCATAATACGCATGATTACTTGATAATCGGGGGTCAGAAATTGCGGAAAAAACGGCCACATTTGCAAAAACAATCCTATTTGACCAAGACACTCAGACCTCAGCGATTGCCATGGTGAATTACGGTTTGAACTGCTTGAGCATCTGCCTTACTCACCAGATCTAGCCCTAAGCGACTTCTTTTGGTTTCCTCATTTGAAAACTGCATTCGGAGGACAAAGATTTTCGTCAAATGAGGAGGCAATCACCTTCGTGAACAATTATTTTGTGAAGAAAAACGCTGGGTAAAGTCTGTTAATAGATATAAGAAAGTGACTAACTGATACGAATTAAGGAAAGACCCGGGCAAGCTGTAAGAATGAAATATGGCCGAACAGGTCTGTACTTTGCTTAGAATTAAATTATTTGGGGTTTTGTTAGGAAAGATACTAAACAATATTTATTTATTTATGTATGTTTTTATCTGTAAATCTAAAATAAAATTATAAATTATTTTTATTACCTACTTAAATTACTTAAAATTATTCACATAATATATCAGTATCACTATCGCTATCATCACGTGTTCTAATTATTATTTGTTCTATATTATTTGCAATATGGATATACGATTGTTCTGCTTTTTCTATATATTTAACAGAATTTGCCCAACTTTGTGGGGAGATGTTAAAAACTTGGGTTCCTATAAGTTTGAGGACATTGAAGTTAACACGGGGAAAAACATTGTTACGACGAATGGCAGATTTCAGTTGGTGCCAACATGTTTAATGGGATTAAATATACAGTGGTAAGATGGAAGCCTTAAACTTGTATGCCCTAGATTTTTTGCATAATTATCACAGACGTATTCCTTTTGTAGGTTCAAGCCTTGTAGAACTTCAATTAATTAATTGCTTTTTGGTACAATCTTCGTGAAAATAAATGTCGTTATTATACATGCAGTTTTGGATTGTTGCTTTTGTGTCACATGAGGAAAGGGTTTTAGTCAATTGTCTACTGTGATAACTTGCATTGTCCATTACAATGACGCTATTAAGAGGAATGTTTGGAACTAGTTTGTTTTTAAACCAACTTTCAAATAAATCAGCGGTGGTGTCTTCATGGTGATCCAGAGAAGAATCTTTAATATTTTTCGCAGACAGAGAAAGTCTATTTGGAATCCAACCATCTTTAGAGTTAACATGAAAAACAGTTATTCCTTTACCTCTTTTTGATAGCGCGTATGTTATACACTTATCAGTTGAGCCAACCCAACCCTTTTCCGGGGTATCACAAGTATCGAACCAGGTTTCATCCAAGTAAATAATTGGCGTTTGTTGTTCTCTGTAAATCCTAATTTTTTCTAGATATTCCAGTGGCCATTTCCGAATTCTAAAAGATTTCATTAAAACTTCCCTTTTGGCATTTTTTTTTTAATCTAAAACCCACTTCCATAAGGTAGTTCTGCCACATTTAACACCGGTTTCATCTTTTTCAAGCCTCCTAATTAAGATATCTAATGTAGGCACCCTTTGTTCCTCGTATAACTGGTAAATTTTACACCGTATTATATCTTGATCAGTTTCATCTCATCAGTTGATGTTGGAATTTTCGTCAATGTGACCGTTTCTTCTAAATATGCTTGCTTGCTGGCACCACGTTCAATGAGAGTCAAATAAACATTGTTTATGACTTCTTTAGTCGCAAAAATAGTGTTTTCTACATTTGGGCGGAAGCATCTCCTGAGATACACTAGACTCGCACATATTTGTCACACGAGATAAGAATGATTACTAATAAACTTAAACTAAGTAGTATACCAAAATAAAAAAAAATTAAACACACTCAATTTTACCTGAATTTAGATTCCGAAACTTTAGGTAATAGTCTTAATGACAACCCTTGGATAATCCCATTCAAAAGCAATTGGTCACTTTCTTATATCTATGAACAGACCATACTATTTGTATGGGAGCATCGTAGCGAGAAGTGTATAGAGTTACATCGAGATTAATGAGACTTAATTAATGAGAAATAATTCCAATTCCCAAGGTATGGAAGGAATATTGTCAATTTTCTACAATTAGGCTTAAGATTTGGTTACTTTATTCTACTAATCCGAAAATGGGAACACAAATGAAAACATTTCGTCAAAGGTCACCGATAATTTAGATAATTCAATCTCTCGCTCTAATAGCTCTTATTAATTTGATAGTCAAAGTAAATAGTTTCCTTTGCGTGCGAAAATAACTGGCGAGTAACGTTGTAAGCGAAGCGATTTAAAAGAGGCTTTCGTCATCGAAAGATATATATTAATTTACCTATCACAGACACGCTATCGTAGAAAGCCATGTTGTCGAATAGGTTGTTATTTTTTTCGCTTGACTTTTTTACGGGTTCTTCGTAGAGGGCGATGTTTTTGTCGAAGCAGAACCTCTCTTCGATGAAGTGCCAGTAACACGATTCGAAACATCTGGAAAGAAAAAGTGACTTTGTCAAAAATGTCGATCGCATGTGTATACTTCGACCAGAAATATAGTGCTTTTACAAGCGACCCCGTGACTAACTGTTTATTACTCCAAAACCGCAGAAGAACACAAAAACACAAAAAGAAGAATGTTGATAATCGACAGGCATACAAGACAAAACAGCCCCGTAAAGTCAAGGTCAAAGTCATTCAGGTGCATAAATACGTACCTACTGGAAGGATCACATTCGAATACCTCCGTAATATATACGAACATATTGCAATTTAGATTAAACTCTTAAGAACGATTCATATCACCTGATGTTTAAATAAACGCTTCTACTTATTCGAAAATATCTCGCAGCATCAATGCTTAATCAAATTTAAAACCGTCCATCTCAGGCACGATCTACTTAATGCAGAATAAACATTTGTTGGGATGGGTTTTACCACGGTCCTGCGAAGGTCTGCGGTTATAGTACTCTAAAATACTCAAAACGTCAAAGCAATAAATGCACTATATTTTTGGTCGTATCATAACAGTTAATTTTTGCAAATTAGTTCGTGTTGCAGAATTAGCGATGTTAATATTAACATGCATGCAAGTTAGCAAATGGTTACTTTCATCCCGCTATTGTTGGCAGCTTTAAAAAAAACCTAGTATTACATTACATTTTTCTCTGCATGGCATAGGGTATACCAGATTATTCTTTTTTATTATTATAAACGCAAACAATGAAAAAAAAAAAACTACAATACAACCTGTGGGTTGTCGGGTTTGGTTTTATCTTCAAAGAGCTGGCTGAGATGCTTAAAGATATTAAATTGGTATTGAAAAACAAATGGTTTAAAGTGTTTACAGTGCGTGATGCATTGCCGAATGGCAAATAGGGAATACTATGTAAATTTTTATGTGCCCAAATATTGGCCCACCTGTACATTTTATAGGAAAATCGTAATATAACTTTTTGAAGGGGTCTCTTTGATTAACTCTTGTGCCAAGTTTGAATAAATTTTCATCAGCCAATCTGGAGTTATTGAAGTAAATATGATGGCACAATTAGAAATTGTATGGTTAAGGTAATAAATCAAAAACACAAATATTTTTATTTATGATTGTTATACGTTTTAAAGCGCGCTTTAATTAAAGCTAAATATGCGGTAATCAATTGAAGCAATTTGAAAAAAAAAATAAATAAAATAAAATAATTCATGTGATAGGAGGAAGGATGTAATTTACTATTTAGTTTTACTTTTTGGTTCCATTAGAAAGCGCTAAACTCGTGATAGAAAAGTGGGGCAAATTTTACAATAAAAAAAGGATAATAATAGGAATTCTAGTCTCTGTCTCGCTCATTTATAAAAATGAAATAATAGGTTGTTCTAGTGGTTTAATTACATATTTACATCATTGAAATATTTACTTTATTCGACGATGAAGCAATAACTTCTTATACAGGGTCGCTCAAAACTAATGATTTGCCTACCAGATGCAAAAATGGTGAAAATTGTATTTTTCAAAATGGCAACGCCCTGTATATTCTGACATATTGTAAGAGCAAATTAAATTTCCTTTAGAATGATATATCATGACCCTCATCATAAATTGTGTAGTTTCTGAAATAAAAGCAAATTTTTTTGAAAACTAGATTACTTATTTTCAAAAGAGTATTTTCAATAGAAGAAATGAACACTTTTGATATGTCGAGAATCCTCATGCCACAAAAGAAATGGGATTTCCAGAGAAATTTAGTTTATAATGTATTTTGCTTGTTAAAAGATAAGAAAGTTATTTTGATATGACTGGAGTATAGACGCAATTTGCAACGTTTACCATCTAACTATTAATTTTTAGGGCAGTTATAAGGTCGATGGAAAAAAAATCAAATTTAATGGTTAGGTATCAAATTTTTTATAGCAAACGTACACTAAGCTTTTAAAGACTGCTGTTAAACTGACGTACTGAAAACCATAAATTAAAGAACGTAACCCCTCCAGCGGGTGTTTTTTAATTGTTTTTTAATTAAAATTTGGGTTGACAGTTTCATTTATTCGTTCATTGATTTTTTCAAAATTAATCGGTAGAACATCGCGCTCTCGATGTAGATTTTCATTGAACTGCGGCACTTAAAAAAGTCAATCAATAACACTTTAGATCCGGAAGGTTTGTTTTGACATGTTTATTTTTGCGATTTTGGCGTCATCCCAAAATCGGTTTTCCCATTCATGAAATTCGACGATATAAGCAGAAGGCAGTACCATATCGAGAATTATGACGTCATTGGTTAGAAAGCGGTGAACTAGTGACAGAAAAGTCAGGCAAATTTTACAATAAAAAAAGACGACTAATAATGGTTGTGGTGATGGAATTATTAGAGAGGAGAGCAGATGTAAGATGTAATGTTAATGCTTGAATTCTGGATTTTACGACTGTGTAAACAAGAGAGTTGATAACCGCTGATTTTTGGCCCGGATGGAGATGTGACTATGCATTAAGGTATTGGTCTGTGTGCGTAGGTTTTCTGTAAATAGAATTTTGTGTCTGATTTTCTATTGATAAGAATATCCAAGAATGGGAGATTATTATTATCCCTCTTTAGTAAAGTCCCTATTCCTGAAAGTCTCAAAATAAGACGGATATCTATTTCAGAAACCAAAAGATTGATCAAGATTACAATACGCCACTTACAGATTAAAAATCTTAAAAATATTAATACTATTACCCGAAACATAATAAACCATAGAAAAACCATCGTTACCCTGGAAATCTTTTCCAATCAATAGCTACCAAAAGCGAGCGAAATATAAACAACAAAGACAAAAAAAATAAATCTAACTTATTATCAGTACACTAGAATAATATTAAAAATTCGCTAGATGAAAAGCTACGACAAAAAGACTCGAGAAGAAAACAAGGCTTCCAAATTTCTAAGAAACTTATGAAGATTATTAATAGAAAAACCAATATATCTACTGCATCTATTTTTTTTTAAATTGAAGATATCATACAAAACTATTTTGATATTCTTTCAATTTCTTCATTAAAATATTTATAATTCCTAACCCATATGAGGGAGATACATAATTCAAAAGGGAATATGATTTTCTTTTATAATATATCATATATATAAGGGCGTTAAATGTTGGTAAAAGGTCTCAGAGACTGAATTGGTTGCCAATGTCAATTCAGTAACAAAACTCTGAGAAAAGCCTACTGATTTCTGACAAATGGGTCAGAGGTTCGAGGAATCGAACTCAGCTCTGCCAACGAATCCTAATCTCACGTCCCCGAAGGCTGTATGTATATAGTCGCGTAGCTCCTGGGTGCATTGCGTACAGTGGATGTACGTTATGTAGCAGACGTGAGAGGGTGAGAGGCGAGTTCCTGGCGCCTGTAACTAACTGGGACTGATTGGCTAAGAGAAGACAACTCCGACAGAAAAACGGGCAGGTCGAGAAGCCCCAAGGTGGCAGCCCCACCACTCGTCTTACTCAACTACAGATCGGTTACCTGTATTGAGGAATCTACTAATAACTCACAAGCTTCATACAAATGCCTCGGATGATAGGACTGGATTATCTGCTGAACGACCCCGGCAAGTTAAAGGTAAACGAGTAGGTATAATTGATAAGCTAATATTAGGAACTTGGAATATGAGAGGCTTAGGAAATAAAGAACAAGAACTAAACAGAGTACTTAAAGAACGCAAAGCAAACATAATAGTCATAACTGAAACAAAAAAGAAATTAAAAGGAACTAAAGAATTAGACGACTACACAATGATTTACAGTGGAGTGGAACAAAATAAACGAGCCTGCTGTGGAGTCGGTATATTAATCGACCATAAATGGAAAACAAAAATCACTAGCTATACTTTTATAAATGAAAGAATCGTATCAGTGAGACTAAAATACGAAAGAGGTCATCTGACTATTATTGGTGTTTATGCTCCAGAAGAAGGGAAAAAAGAAGATACTGAATACTTTTACGAAACTTTACAAAGTCTAGTGAACAGATGTAATAAGAACGACGCTATCATTATAGCAGGAGACCTAAATGCAAGGGTAGGCAATATACCTATCACAGGAATTTTGGGTCCCTTCGGAGAGCCATGTCTAAATACAAATGGACAAGAACTGATACAGTTTGCTTCTTACAATCAGTTACGTATTACAAACTCATTTTTCAGACATAAGGAAATCCATAAATACACCTGGAGTGCTAGAGGCCAAAAATCGATAATCGACTATATCATTGTAAATGATAAAATTACCACACTGATAGAAGATGTTAGGGTATACCGAGGCAGCGATGTCCATTCAGACCACTACTTGCTAATATCCACAATTAATATGCCTGCAAAATGGAAAAACACAAGTAAGAAACCCACAAACGAACTGGTATTCAAAGTATATCTGTTGAACGAGAACAGTGTTAGAGACCTTTATATAAGACGCCTGAACCAATATTTATCACAAACACTTAAAAGCGATAACTCCGACAAAGAATGGGAAAACATAAAGAGATGCATAGAAAGAGCAGCTTTTGAAAGTCTAGGAAAGAAGAAGAAGTTCAGAAATAAACATGGGCTAAGAATATGGAACAAAGAAATCGAAGTTTCCTAATGACGAAAACATTCAAAAGAGCTTGCAAACGACCAGACCCAGTTACTGTAAAAACGGCCTCGAAACAATCGGATTGATAGAAGAAATAGAACAAAATTAATTGAAACTCTTTTAGAAAGCAGGTAAGTACCCCATCACGTAACTGAATCCCAACCTAAAAAAATCTTTTGGAAACAAATACTTGTTGACACAAAAAAGATATGAGGTAGTTTATTAATATTTTTGTATGTTTTCTGATAAATGTTCTTTTTTTCATTTTAAATATAGGTATTTGATTTTCAGGATTTCAGGATTTCAGGGCACCTCCATTTTCAAGTCTTTGAGAAAAAGGTATTTCAAAAGTAATATAAGTTAAATATATCTAACTCAAAACCTATTTC